GCATCTTCGTAACTGGTACATTCGCAAATGCATTCCGAACAGTTTGAGGAATATAATTAGTTAGAACACCCACTTTTTCGGTTTCAAACTTTCTCGAACATACGAAACCAGTGATTTCATTGTTTGGAAGCATCAGGAACATTTGGATCCAATCAAATCATTCCGGCCTGAGAAATCGATCTATTCTTGAGCCGTAAGATGAATAAATTGTTCTAATCGAATGGCACAGTCTCCCGATTGAGTTAAAATGAACGAAGCAGATTGAAGAGTCAGAACTGAAGAATACTCTAGGAGTGGACTTTATTCGTTTTACTTTTAAAGTATTGGAATTAAATGAAAAACAATACAAATATAAACTGGTCAGAGTAATGATTTAGCATGACACGCTGCTTCCTGTAGCCACGAGGAACTACTGCGTCCTAGGTGGAATCAAAGTAGAATGACAACCTGTGGCGATGAAAGTCCATTGAATGAGCTAGCCTCCTCTGGCAATCTAGTACATGCCTTATGACTGTTTAAAAAGTTAGTGAAAACAAACTTCATTGATTTTTATAAAAGTTGGTCTTTCGCCCTCCCATCATTTTAGGTCGACAACGTAACCTATGTTGATCGGTTCAATGGTTACGCTCGGGCCGAAGGCATACTTCACATCACACTTACTCATGTTTTCTTCATTGACCGCTCCGGCCGCTATGAAGTATGGGTGAGTCATTTTTTAACTAAGCCTGAATGAAAGAACTGAACTACTTTCTTCCTCTCTACTGGACCTCAGTTTTGCACTCAGTATACGCAACCTAATTTTTTACCAGTACCGAGTGGCGTCGCTTGAATGGTGTAGTATACCGTATTAGGCCGATTTTTTTTCGTTAGGCGCAAGAATTCAGGGCTGAAGGGAGTCAGGCTAGTTGCCTTGACACAATTGGAGATGTGGCTTGGAATGCAGGGTAGGGGGTGGGGATTTGATGTACCTATGAGACCAGTCATCGCCCCCTACGCAGTGGAAATCTATTGTGCGAATGATGAAAGGCTTGACAGCCTCTCTGCTGTAAACCGCATGACCGTTGTAGGTGCTACTTTCTGACACTCCTGTAGACGTCTAGTTACGAGGTTGTGGCAAACACATTAACCACACCCGAACGCCTGACTGATGGGCTAAAGCAGATGCAAGTAGTGGCTGCGTAGCTCAACCAGCCTGGTTACCATTTCTACACGGGGTGGACCGTAAGTTGAGTAAGAGTTAGGATACTGGGTACTTTTTTCCTATTAGTGTTTGGTGTAAAATGTAAGTAAAAATATGCAATTAAGGGTATAAATGTACTTGTGATATGAACCAAATAAAATTATCTCTAAAACGGTGACCTTTTGGCTCCTGGCACATTTTTGTTTCATTTCAGTGAAATTCCCATAACACGAAATGCGGCTTCCTGGAATGTTTTTAGTTGGGATTTAATGGTTCCCGGGTTTTATTTGCACGCGCCTTCAGACGTGCCCACAGGAAATAGCCGGACGTGCCTATTGGGCAGACAGAACGGGCGTGAAATTTCTTGGTCCCTGCCAACGATGCATTCGTTAAAAATCGTTCCTAGGGGATCAGTAGTTTACCCAGTAGTGCGTGCTATAGCCCCATCTTGATGCGATCACATCCGAGGAGGATGAAAAAAATGACACACAACGACATTTTCTATCACTAACTTGTATTGTTCTTTGGTGTCTTAAATGAAACCGGAAACAACTAGTCATTGGACTGTGACTCCACAAGGTCTATGTGGCAAAGTGAATGAGCCACGTTATTTGAGTCGGAAAAGATATGTAGACCGGCCTTCAGTCGTCAAATATCAACCTTGTTATGCCAACTGAGGTGAACATTATCCTGTACCTTTAGATTGTATGCTAACTTTTTACTGGTTCCGATTGCCCTTCCCTTTCTGTGTGCATTTTGCCGTTATGCATTTAAGAACCCGTGACCTGTGCTATCGAAACTTAAAAATGAAGAAAGCCATTTGAAAACAATCTGACTGATTGCTATAATCCCTATTATACCTATGACTCCCCATCCCGTACTCGAAATCTAGTTCAACGGTAAAGTGGCTGACAACACCTTGCTGTAGTCACAGGTTGGCCAAGAACCATGTCTTCTTTGATCTATAGTTATATTTTTATTGAATCCCATCTACAGTTGGACGGATCTGGAAAATCCGATGCTGCACAATTTTTTCTCCCTATAACTCCGTCCATGGGCAACTAGTCCTTATTGTTGAGAATGGTTCTCATCAGAGGGGCTTGGCGGACTTTAATGTGTAAAAATCGGCCTATTTGAATTGAGTCTAGTTTTGCATTCACCCTGCCTGTGCTGGTGATCGTTAGCTTCGAGTGATCAATGCTTCTAGAGCAAGCATATCGCCTTTCCTCATGCAAGTCGCGTAATTTACGCTCACCCTTTCCGTTCATTTGAGTGTCACAATTTTCCTGATTCACTGCCGCACACTGTCAGTCATCTGCACTCCTCCTCATTCTCATCCCCCTCCTGCCAGTCTACACGGCTTTCTTCGCATACACATTAAGGAAATGTTAACGCATAGAAAAAGCATTATAGTTGGCTAAGGAAAGTGGAATTCGCACTGTAATCACTATAGAACTGCCACACTGACCTAAATACCTTCACCTTGTAAATAAGTAGACAACAACAATTTATTTATTTATAACAGCTGGTGAGCGTAACTGCAAGAGTGCGACTTGGGGGCTGGGAAGTTGGATTCAGCTTCACAG